CAAACTGATTGCCCTGTCTGTCCATATGCCTAATCCTACACCCCACCTCCCACTTGGCAGCCCTTTCTGCGTCCTCCATATCAATAAATGGTGCCATCAGAAATTTGGGATTCACCAAGTCCTTTTGCTTCTACCTTGTAAATGCCCCAGTTTTATATCTTCTCTTTTACATCCCTTTCTCAATTCATCAATTCTTCCTGTATTTTTGCAATGAGTCTTCATCTTATCTCCCAACTTTAGATTTTGCTTAACTCTGTATTTCAGAAGCATCTTCCTGAAATGTGAATCTATTCATGCAATTCTCCTATTCACATCCTTTCATGGGTCCCTACAGTCTTCGAAACAAAATTTAAACTCTTCAGAAAGGTGCAAAAATGGTCTTTATTGGTTGATCACTGCCTATGATCTCAATACCAGCTCTTATCACCTCCTTACTCCCACTCCCAACTCCAGCCATTTAAAGCTACTTGCAAATCCCTAACCCATTTATCTTTCCTGTGTTTTTTTCTTCTATGTGCCATTGTTTCTGCTTGGAACATCTATCCATAGCCCTCTAGCCCCATCTTCACCTAGTAATTACTATGTAATATCTCAGTATTCTGTATTCCCAATATACCCTGTGTATTTCCTCCTTCATTTATAATCCTGCATTGTGATTCTTTCTACATTAAAGAGTGAATGCCTTGAATTTGAGGCCTCTGAGTCTATGCTCTGTTTCTCCACATACCAGTACAGTGTCTAGTGAATAATAACAAATTGTTGCTATGAAAACAAAATAGTTCACGCAATATTTGCGACATTCACCAGGAATCAAACATCCAGCCAACCATTGTGTATAGAGCAAAATCACATGGGGAGATACACTATAATTCTGTCTATATGCAGTTTGTAACATGAATTAGGAAGCTAGAATGAATATGTAACATATATAGCAATTTGAAGTGGCAAATACCAAATGAATGGTGAAACCAACAAGTGACAAAGGAACCCATGGGAAATACACACCACTAGGTACTCAATTGGCTGCTCATAAAAAAAGTTTTAGAGAAAAGATAAGTATAATTATAGTAAGAGTCTACAGAAGAATTAAAAATAGTGAACACCTAGATGCTAAGTCTCATGAGGTCAGGAGACAAATCAATCTTGTTCATTGCTCTGTCTCCAAGGTCTAACAACATGGCTGAATCATAGTAGCTAACTAAGCATTTGTGTTGAATTGAATTTTAAACTGTGCATCTGGTGATGCAAGAAAACATCTGTTTAAAAAAAACAGCACTTTTTCTCTTTTGCCATTCCATAAAAAGGTAATTTGTGTGTGTGTTTACTAGAACTATTTCCTCAAAAGTGAAATATTGCTTCACTCTTTGGTTGGCAAATGTGTTGTTTCAAGATGGAGAAGTATCTGCTTTAAATGAAGAGAAAGCTATTTCGGTCCATAATTCTCAGAGCCAATTTTGGATCTTAAAATGCACTTTTCATCAAAGAGTCTTAACAAAAAGATTCCTGCCAATGTAACCAAGACATCTAAAAATATTTAATTCTAAAGCCAAGCTTTCCGTTCAGAAGCATTGTAATTGAAATCACATTCTTCCAGAGACCTAGCATTGGGCCAATAGTCACCTGAGTAAGCTACCATCCTCACCTTCATGAGTAGGACCTCACAACTGCATGATATTTAGGAATTCTGCATTTTCCTTACATTTATGCTGGATTTCCAGTTTTCCAGGAACTTATTTGTACTCAACAGAGCTATTATACTAAACCAACGAACAACACATATAACTTTGAGTTGAAGTCAATTTAACATGTCCCCTCTCATTTCAAACAAAAAAAAACCTGAGACCTGGTAATATAATTATTGACCTAAGTACATTTAGGGCACAGCTCGAGTAGCAAAGTCTCTTGAGGGATAACCTGTTATTCAGTCTTCCACATAAGCTATGTTCATGGAACATCAATACTTTCACATATATTGTTTTATTAATTCTAGTGTGTAGTCACCTGAGATAGGTAAAATGGGATTATTCCTCCCCTGTAACAGGTGAGGAAATTGAGCCCCATCTGTCTGTGAATTCCCTCAGGATGACTGAGCAGCAGAAGCAGAACTAGTATTCAAGACTCTTGACTTGGTTCAGATATTTCTATTATTGTCATTTACCAGGAGCATCAAATTGACATGGGTCTTTTCCTTTGGTACAAATGAGTCATTTACAATCTAAATGGGCTGGTGTCTACCATCCCTCGAAGGAAGATTTACTATAGTAAAAGACAGTTACAATTACCAGAGTTTGCAGGTCACAAAAGATAATGAGGCGAAAATATATATGTTAATTAATTTTGAGGTTTCATTTAAATAATCAATCATTCTTTCAGAACTAAAAATAATCAAAAGATACTAGTAATTTTAGACCTGTATACAGGGGGCAATATGCCATGAACATATTCTTTTTTTTTTCTTTACACACCAGTGATGAAATTTCCCATCTGTTGCTTCAAATCAAATAAGCATACTTAAAAATAACATACATTGCAAAAACTTTTCTTTGAAGGATTAAAGTCACTCTGATTGTTAGCTGAAATAAGTGTTAATTTTTCAACAAGTAAAAATGTGTCTGGACAAGTCCACATGTGTTAGCAGTAGGCTAAGAAAGGAATCTGGCATGGGATTCTTAACACTTGGTTCTAATCATTAATGCTGCAGTACTGGCCTATTTACAACCTGATATTTGTTTTTGCACTTTCAACATCCCGTGATTTTTCAGCAACAGTAAATAGCTTTTAGAGATGACACCTCACCTTAGCTGGTGTCTATATTTTGACTAGCAGGTCTTGGCACTGTGTCCAGTTCAGATGCCTCTCCAAAATGTTGCATGCAGGTAAAAGGTGAACAAAACTTAAGGAAGAAAAAAAAAAAAACACCACTACTCTAAACAATTGGGGGCTATAACACATCTAAGTTCTTAGCTGACCTATCACAGCAACTTCTAATCTTCTTATCATTGTCTGTTTGGATTTTATTCCCTAATTTTTCCATAGAATACCATTTTGTGATGTTGTTATGTAAAAAACAACATAAATAAAAGGCAAAAGAAAGGAGTCTAATTTAACCTCATATAGGGCACACAGAACCATACCTGATTTCTATATCATTTTATTTCTAGCAACATAATTTATATTTAAGTGTTTGGGACTTGGGAGGTACCCACATTAGGACATTTTAAAATTGTTATGGTAAAACTCCAAATTTAAATCAATGAAACACCTCCATAATCCCACAAAAGTGAATATTTGTGTATCTGAGAAATTAGTTTCCCTAGGAAGACGTATTCTCTTGAAAACAGGGGATTTTCATAATGTGTGGGAAATCGGCGGTTCTGAATCACCCAATATTGTCTCAGTCTGTGTTTGTATCCTATATATCAAAAACGTCTCCAATAATTAGAATGTAAGAAGATACACACGACATTAAAATATTGCTGAAACTTGAATATTCCCTGGAGTAGTCGTGACATGTTTTATAACCTTGTGATACCTCAGGATTATCAAAACTGTGTTTGGAGAGGGTATAGGGATAAGGTTGGTTATTTGAGCTTGCTCTCTATTCGAATTCTGAGAATATGAAAATTTGCATTATGTTGAGAGCATATCCACTATGTAGTATTTTGTTTCTCTTGAGTTAATTAATAAGTGTCCTAACTTTCAAGTCCTGGTGGCTGACTTAGAAGTGTTTTGCATAAAACTTTACACACGACATCCTCTTCTTTAAATAGTGCATTTCATTTCTAGGAAGAACCATGCCACAACACAGTCTTCTGAAATGTGCTGTGTGCCTTCAGTATTGAAAGTAATACTTGCATGTTACATTCAAATGTGGCCTTTTTTTTTTTTTTTTAAGATTTAGACAGCGAGAGAGGGAACACAAGCAGGGGGAGTGGGAGAGAGAGAAGCAGGCTTCCCGCTGAGCAGGAAGCCCTATGTGGGGCTCGATCCCAGGACCCTGGGATCATGACCTGAGCTGAAGGCAGACGCTTAACGACTGAGCCACCCAGGTGACCCTCAAATGTGACCTTTCTAAAGAGACTTTTCCAAAGGAGAAAATTTCAAAAACACCGAGTAGAAAAGTCACTGGAGAAACAAGCAGCCCAAGTAATCGGGGTATCTGGGACACTTTTCATTGTTTTGTATGTCTGCAGTGTCCCAACATGGGCAGCAGGGGGCGCTCCTGCATGAAGCAAAGCCCCCACAAGTGTCCCTGGTCGAGAATACTGAGGCTTTTTCTCTTAGCATTTGCCCCAAGTCCAACGAGGTAGTCAATGAGGAGTGCTGTTGTCCATAAACTGTACAAGCTTAGAACATGCGGTGAATAACATTGCAGAAGTGACTGACTAGGGCACATGGGTCTGAGCTTGCCTTTAGAAAACAGGGTGACCAATTTTTGTTATTTTGGTGGGCAGCAGACATTAAAAGAGCTGGTGAACAATTGGGGGAGGAGGTGATTGCCATCAGTTGTAAAGAGGCCATCTCTGAAAGCAACAAGTGGACATCTGTATCCCAGGGTCATTTATTCAGCCTCTTTGTGACAGTTTAGGTTGCAGGTTATATTCCCTGTGAAATATCAAATCAAAACCCTTCCCTCTTTTCCCGACCCCACCCCAAACTCAGAAAATCCTTGATGATCTGGTTTCCCACTAAACCCTAGGAAATGTGGTTTCTGCAGGGGATCTTCTGCATGTGGCTGTGATTTGCACGTGAATTATGATGCATTTTACTTGCTCTGTACCAATTCCTAAGTATCCAAACCAGGTTGGAAAAATCGTTAGGGACCAAAAGCAAAGGCTTTGAAACTTCAAACACAGTGGGCTCCAAAGCAAAATCCCCAGTCCTCACCCCCACTTCATACACATACTCATGCATACACCACCCCCACCAAACGGCTCCTTTCTACTTCCCGTCCCCAAATGAAGGTCTGTGGAGACACAACCATAAACCTTAGTACTCACCATATTGACTTCGGAAACCATATCAATGCTGGCGATGTCAATGTTCATTCCCACGGCCACAGGGGGACCTGCGAACCAAGATAGCCAGCCATGTGATTTCTCAGAACTTCATTCATTCTCAACAAGAGCTGTCCCTGGGCATGGGGTATTCTGCCCCAAATTCCTCCCCCACTGCTCATCCTTATATTCTTCACTTCTCCACTCCTTTTTAAAAAAGAGTGCTCTGCACTCCTCTAGGGAATGCTCTATGGAACATGTACACACGTGCCCTCCTGGGAGAGGGATTCCAATTCTATCTACATAGGTAGATGTCTCAGTATGAGAAAACACACAACTCACAGAAGCCGGAGGAACCTGTCTAGCCCGAGGGAATTTTTATATATTGCACTAAAACCCCCTCCTCCTCATTCTTTCCCACTCCCCTTCGGAGCGCGCAGGTTTTAACTCTTTGAGCTTCGTAAGAGTCTAAAGCAAAATTAAACGGGCATATCAGTGTATCTAAGGCTGTAGCAAGAGGTCCCTAGCCCTTCTCCCACTTACCCTCCCTGCCTTTTAGCCCTCCCCAACCCCTTCCCTCCCACCGCCACAAACAGTGGGGCTTCCAGGACTGGATAACATCCAGACATCAGCCACTTTAAACCATTGCCAGAACTCTTCCAAAGTAGGCGGGCACAGGGGATTAATGTCACTTTTCAACCAATTGCCTGCACATTTTGTTCTCAAAAATGTTCACGATGGCCTCCAGTAAGCCAGGTTCTCTAGGCACACCATTAACTAAACTTAAGAGGTTTGTATCTCAATGAAGCAAAGACGGCGAAGCAAGGGATCTCAGCAGTGAAGCTAAAGAACAGCAGTCACCTATACACTCTAAGAAGGTCTCATTGAAAGACCGTCTAACTGCTGGATAGCAACAAATCGGCTTAAGTTTGGATCACTTTCTCAATATGGTAACACAGAGACACATTCGATATACCACATGCAGCCAACAATGAGGGAGAGGGAAGACAGCGAGCACAAAGCTCACAAGACAGCTTAGGCTATAGCAGGGCTGTTTCTTATTTCCAAGGCAACCCCATTACCTCCAAAATCTGGTCTCAGACGAATGTCATAGCCTTTCAGGAGTCTATCCACTGTCTCTTTAACCAGCGACATATTACTAGGGTCATTGACACTAAAGAAAGAAAAGACAATAAACAGGCATCAATAAGGCAGCAGGCACAGCGTCTTCAGCATCTGTCTGATCCTCACTACAGATCCCTGCTCACAGAGGTATGCAGACCGAGCCCTTCAAAGTGAAATGAAAAAGAGAAATGCTGGGCACACTTACCTCTGCGCACAGACAGCGGCGATTATTAAGGGGAATGACCAAATCCCAAAGTAGCCCTTTTTCCGGACTCTCCACATGCCTTTAGTTTTTGATGGGATTGAGGGTTTCACTGAAGAGAGGAGATCCAACTTAGACTGCCCAGTGCAGTAATTCTAATGTGAGGCGCATGCGCACGGTGTACCAAAACATCAAAGGGGCAGCGGCGGCTGCCTGGGACCGAGCAGATTTTCTGGCTAAGAAAAAAAAAAAAAATTAAAGGGGAAAAAGGAAAAACATACATATGTATAACATATACATATTTGAGGAATATAGGAAAGTCACCCCACAGGAGGACCCAGAGTAAAATCTTTGTTTTCCTTTCGTTAAGACAAAAACAACTAGAGCCTCTGGTAAGTTTTGGTAGTTCCTGGAGGCAGTTTTGCACCTCACGGGTTTTTGGGGCGTGTATGTGTGTTTCCTCTTAAATATGCAAATCCAGATAGGGAATTTAAAAGACAGCAGGTGTGGAGTGCTAGTGGAAAAGGGGTGCCTGCGATCCCACTTCTGGTATCAGCAAGCCTAGGAGGAGAGGAGTTTGAACTTTATTTCCTGGCAAATAGCATCCCCTGCGTGGGGCGAGATGTGTGCTGGAGATGGGGGTTGTGCGGTGGGGGGAGGGGGGAAGGGACGGTGGGTGCAGTAGTCAAAGGGGGAGGGAAGAAAGAAACCAATGGGAGAAGTGCTGAGCAATCTGTCGGATTTGGGGCGGGAGGGGGGTGGGGGAGTAGAGAATAAGAAAGAAACGGAAAAATAAAAAAAAGATAAAGGAAGAATAAAATGATGCCTGGTCTCTTCTAGGAGTCTAGGAACAAGCTTTTCTTCACTACTCACGAACGATTTCTTTCTCCTCCTCACCCTTTGCCCCCTATTCCCCGAGAAGAAAACCTCGGGGTCCCGGTTTCTTGCCGTGTGACGTGCCTGACCCGCTAGTTCGGATTATTTATAGAAGGAGGGGGGGGGCGAGGGGAGCAGAAAGGCAACGCTGTCTCTCCAGGTTTCGGTCTGATTCTGCACTGGGAAATTATTAGTGGGGAGGGTGGGGTTTGGACGAGGGGAGTGATGGGACGTGGGAGCGTTGGGAACGCCGGTGGCTGGCGCCTGACCCTGGGTGCCGGGGGCTAGAGGGCTGGAGCGGCGACACGGTGCAGCAAGGGCAGGTGGCCCTAGGGGGGGCGCCCCTGGCGGAACCCCCCCCCCGCCCCCTCGGAGCACGCGCAGAGGCGCGCGCACGTGCAGGCACTCTCCCAACCCGCCTCCCGCTCCTTCTTACCTCCCGGGCCTGCGCTCGCCGCCCACTGTTGCCGCGGGCGGAGCCGGCGCCCCCCGGAGCTCTGTCCCAGCTGGAGAGGGCCAGTGGCGGCTAGGGACACCTGGCTGTTCAGTGGCTGAGTGTGGCTCGGGATGGGAAAAGCCAGAGCGGTCCCTAGAAGGCGGCAAAATGAGGAAGGGGCCTAGGGACGCCTGGGGGCCCGGCGTTCTCTGTCTCCGCTCCACCTCGTCCTTGCTCCCCTTCCCAGGGCCAGGAGATACTCTCAGACCCCGAGGCTGCCTCTTCCCTCTCGCCCGAGGCTTTGCCCGGCTCCCCACCGCCACCGGGACCCGGAGGAGGCAGCGAGCGAGCTCGGCGGTTTGAGACGGAGGGAGATACTCAATTCACCGCCGAAATGTTTCCTCAGCTCGAGGGAGAGAGACGTGCCGCGGGAGCCGGGAGCTGCTACAAGGCTGGGGGGTCTGGGCGTGTGAAGGAGCCCGAGGTCAGGACGAATGCCTCTCCCGGTACTCCGGAGTTATCTTGGAACGGGGGAGGAGGGAGGAGGGGATGTAGGGCAGGTGCTCCCGCTCCCCCTTCCCCCACTCCTCAGTGAAGAACGGGAAAAGCCAAAGCCCAACCCTGCATTCTGGACCCAGAGCAGTTTTCGCTTCTAACTCCTATTGCTGATCATTGCTAACCATTAACTGAGCGTACTACTTGCCAGGAGTGCTTTATTAATTAATTCTTACGACACTCCTAGGAGTTAGCCATCACCTCAGTTTCCTCATATGGATTTAGAAACTGGCGCACTGAAGCGAAGGAACTTGCCCAAGGTCACCTAGTAGGCTAGAGGTGGAACCCGAATTGGACTAAAAAAAAAACCAGTGTCCCTAACCATTCGACTAGACAGCCTTGGCCCCCAAGTCCGAGACCATGCCGGCTGCCGGCTGCCGGCTCTCAGCTACAGCACAGCTCCCCGAGCCCGCGGAGCCCTCAGCGGCGGCGGGCGGAGCGGGAGCGCGCGGTTCCGGGCTTGCATGGCCCAAGTCTGAACAGAGGAGAGGCGCCCGCCGCCCGCGCCCGCTGTAGTGGTCTCCGCAACACGCGGGACTCCTCAGGGTCCTGGTCCCTGCCAAGCTCCTGGCCCATTTACCTCTAGACCACCTCCCTCCCTCTCCCCACCCCGCCTAGGTCAGAGGGTCATCCTGGGGCAGCTCCGGGGAATGACTCCTAGGGGAGAGTGGAGGCGGGAGGGCTTCGAGGAGGGAATCCAACAGCTCCCCTAGGAGGGAGCGCGAGCGGGAAGGGAGAGCTGTGTGCCATCACTAAGGGAGTTTCTGAATTTGAGTCAGGTAAAACAACGCCATAAACCATGCAGTTCTACAGTCTGGCGTACTGCGGGGCTCCAGGCTCATAGGAGTCCGTTGAGAGACAGACAGACAGACGGGGAGAGAGAAGGAGAGAGAGAGAGAGAGAGATAGGAAATCCGCAAGTCTCCCATCTGTAATTATTCCGGTTGAGAGTTCCAAGGACAAAATAGTGTTCCAAGGACCCATGGCAGAGGAAAACTGCCAGTTTTCCTCTCTTTTTACACTTACATACAAAGGGAATCTTTTACACAAGCTAACATATAAGGGAAAACAAAGTTTAGGTTACCAGCATTATATACAGAGGATTCCTAAATCAGTTTGAACCCCAGGTTAAGTAACTGGTGAAAACCTAGGAAACTTGTCTTTTTCTTGAAAACACCCCAAAACAGGATTTTCCGTCTGACCATTAGTTATCCATGTTGCACTTTCTGCACTGTCAGCCTCTCCTATTTGACTCCCTTCAGTTTGGGTTGAAAGAAAAATATTCAGTAAAGAGAATACCGAAAATACTGTCATCCAGCAGTAATAAAAATAGCCCAGTGAACAATTAAACAAGTACTTGTGGAAACCTTGCCCTATACAGAAAATTAAGGAAGAGGAGGGCAAAGAATTAAAATAAAAGTAACTTGCATCTCAGCAAGTAAAACAATAGCACAGTGCAAACTGTGAGTTTCAAAGGAACTGGAGGCAGAACTTTGAGTTCAAATCCCAGTTTGAATGCTTAGTATCTTTGTAACTTGGATAGGTCAGTAAACCTGTCTAGGCCATGGTTTCCTCTTCTGTAAAAATGAGAATGATAATTGTACCTTCTCCATTTGATTATAGAATGATGTAAATATATGTGTAGCATTTGGCATGAAATTAACAAATATTAACAAATTTTAATGAATAAAGCATAATCAGTGGACAGGAAAACAAACAAGATTTAATAACATTAATGTATAAAGACTGAGTGGACATAAATTTAATGCAGTTATCATAGACTGGCTTGAGAAGAGAGGAGCTGACATTTCAAGGGAATTAAGGTTAAGAAGGCACTGTATTAAAGGCAATCTAAAGAGAAATGAAAAAAGAATATTTTCTTTATGTGGTAACATCTCAGGGATATCTCTTACCAATAGATATTACTAACATAATCAAAGAGATATTCCTACCACTTATAAAACCTGAGATCAACTTATATCTAAAGTGAGTCTTATTGTACAGCAGAATCAACACTAGAACTTCTCTCTGGAAGACTGATAACACAGCCTAGGAATGTGAAAATTAGAACAATAATGTGCAAGGAGGGCATTGCTGGAATTGATATGTTATCAGTTGCTGGAGAGCATCCTCTATGATCCCAGATGCACAACAAGAAGGCAAAAATGTAAGTATTATTAAGAGATCATGATTCAAAATCATCTTTGAGTATGAAGTACATAAATTCCAGATAAATCCAGTCACCAACCATCGGCCTTACCTTAGTCTTTACTATAATATTCATTCATTTATTCAGTAAATATGTATTAGTCACCTACTCTATGTTAAACATTTGACAAACACTGGGGATGATGTGTTGAAAAGGCAAACATGGTCCTTATCATCTTGGAGCTTACACTCCAGTGTGGGTAGAGCCATTATAGAAGTAATAACTGGTATAGCATGTATCATAAAGTTGGAAAGACAGGATATTATGGAATCCATAATTGGTACAAATAAATCAGCTTGAGGTATTGGATAAAATTTGCTTGATAAGTTAGTGCATCAATTGAGATTTGAAAGATGGGTTAACCTGATGAAGAGTTGAGGGAAGAGTGTTCCAGGAAGAAGGAATAGTATGTGCAAATATCCTGGGCCAAGAGAGGATGGCATAAATGAAGAATGAAGGAAGAACCATAAGACTAGAGGAAAAGAGGGGCACCTGGGTGGCTCAGTCGTTTAAGCTTCTCCCTTCAGTTCAGGTCATGATCCCGGAGTCCTGGGATTGAGCCCTGAGAGTTGGGCTCCCTGCTCAGTGGAAAGTCTGCTTCTCCCTTGACCCTCCCCATTCTCGTACTCTCTTTCTCTCTCTCTCACTCCCTCTCTCAAGTAAATAAATAAAATCTTTAAAAAAATTAAGACTAGAGGAGAAAGGTAAGAGTGACCCCCCCCCCCCCCCCGGAGTGATGTAGTTGGAAAACTTCGCAGTAGCAATTTGGGACCATTGATCTGTGGAGGTAGAGGAGTGACAAGATGAGTTTTAATGACACTGGAGGAAGATGGTAGTAGCTGTAGGGAGATCTATTATTGTAGGAATCCAGATGAGAGTTGATGTTGACCTGAATTAGGATAGTGACAGTGAAGATGGAGAGAAGTGACCAGAGTTATGTGATAGAACTAACTGAACTTTGTGACAGGTAGAATATGGGGAATGAGAGAGAAGTATCCAAAGATAACTCATACATTTCTTGTTTGAGCAATTCAGTAGTGGTGGTACAAGAAAGTTGCTGGCAATAATACACTTGGTTTGGGTCATGATAAGTTTAAGGAACTGATAGCCATCCAAGGTGCACCAGATGTTTTGATCTCATTCACTTCTGAGCTTCAGC